TATTGGGATCAATGCGCTCATCTTCCTCCTCCATCGGGGCGGGAGGAGGTGCCTGCCTACCTCCTCGACGGCTACTAGAGGCAACCTCTGAGGTACCTGTGTTAGAACGTTTGCTAGGATAGCGAGACATTGTACCTGCACAAAATAGACAACATTAGCCACAACACTTAAAATAAAAACAAGACCAAATGGGGTAACCACCCCGCACTTCTGTTATTGGCAAGTTCACAAGTACAATGTATATAGGGGGCTTGGACTACCCCATTGAAAGCACGCCACATATATTCAATAACCCACCCAATCACCAATGCAAAATTCCAACAACATAACCACGGACTACACTAGTGTATACGACAAAATTAAGAAGCTAAACTAGTAACTAAGAAAAGAAGAGTAAGAAGTTTGTCTAATTCACTACTAACAAACTTAAGATACAATACAACACTACACAAGTACTTAGCATGAATCGGACACTCCAATTAGCACCTAGCAACACATTAGCATGGGGTGGTCAATCGATTAACACTCGGGGTTAACACGTTAAAGTTTCACAACATAAGAACATGACATCCCACCCTACATTTATCATCAAGTATCACAACCCACAAAGCACTTCCCTTTTAAATTAGCAACATTACACATGTTTATGTCACTAAGGCATTTCAACAAACATATTGTGGGCATTAAGTTCACCCCTTTATTTTCACTCACATTGTCAGGAACCTCCACACTTATATATTAATCAACCACCCAACAACAACCAAAGCATCACCACATTGTAACCATAGCACAAAGTGCTTCAAATTTGCACAAAATTATCATGAATTTTAGGCCATATAGGCACCCTTTCAAGCTTCGTCACAAAACAATCCCAACACCATCAAGACACACTAAAAATCATGCCCAAGCATAAAAATAATGAAAACCCCACAAGGTTAAGAACAATTTTTGACCAAAGTAAAAAAAAATTAACTACAAGATTAGCAAAAAATCAACTACCTACGGTTTAGAAAATCAAACTAAAACTATGTAATTCTACAACTAAATGGTAAAAAGAACACAATTAAGAGAAGAGAAAAGAACTTACCTTGATGAGTGATGGAGATGAGAGGAAGGTGAATGAATGAAGGATGTGAGGAAGAAGGAGGGATTTGGATTGGGAGAGAGAATAGTGAGAGAATAGAGAATGAGAGATAGGGGAGAAGGGGGAGGTTTTGTTTCTGTTTTTGGGGGCAGGGTGATTTGGGCATTTTCCTTTTTAATTTCATAATTGTTTTTTTCAAATTACCCTGCAGTATCGCTGAGTGTGGCGCCGCACGTGGCGCGGTTGTGGGGTTTTCAGAGAGTGGATTCTGATAGATTTTTCTCGTTTGGCCTAGCGCGGTAGGCTGAATTTCTCACAGTCCCGGCAATATTTTTTGTTTTAGGCTATGGGTTGCATTCCGACTCTATTATGTACTTATTTTATGTTTAATTCATGCTTATACCTGCCTAAATAAGTACCAACATTCCTAAACTCTAATAATCTTATACTATAATTATCTAACTATTTTACAAAAGCAAGAAAAAGGGTTAGAAGTAGTTCTGAGTTATAGTCGTCAGCTTTACTCCGTCACTTAGGCTCATTTGATCACGATGCTAGATTATTTTCTTGTTAAATCATTCAACAAGGTATTGTTTCAACATGTGCCCATTCACCTTAAAGCTTTCATTCCCTTCTTCATCCTGAATTTCAACGGCGCCGTACGGTGAGACATATTTTATCACATTCGGACCTATCCATCTTGATTTGAATTTTTCGGGGAAGAACCTAAGTCTACTATTTTATAGTAAGACGTTGTCCCCTTCCTGAAACTCCTTTGGCTTAATCAGACGATCATGCCACCTTTTTGTCTTTTCCTTGAAAATCCGCACATTTTCATATGTGTCCAGTCTAAACTCCTCCAATGCATTCATCTGTGCCAACCTGTGTTCACCTGAAAGACTAAGATCAATATTAAGCATCTTAATTTCCCAATAAGCTTTATGTTCTATCTCAATAGGTAGGTGACATGATTTTTCATACACTAGTTTGAATGGTGAAGTCCCTATGGTTATTTTGAACGCAGTTCTGTGCGCCCATAGAGCTTCTTCCAACTTTACAGACCAATCCTTACGAGAAGCACTAACCGTCTTTTCAAGAATTTGTTTAAGTTCACGGTTATCCACTTCAACTTGCCCACTAGTTTGGGCATGGTACGGGGTTCCTATTTTGTGTGTGACCCCATACTTGGACAGCAGTACAGCAAACTGCTCGTTTACAAAGTGTGACCCATTACCACTGATAATCACTCGAGGTGTCCCAAAGCAGGTAAAGATGTTCTTCCGTAAGAACTCACACACCACCCGAGCATCATTGGTCCTAGTTGGGATTGCTTTGACCCATTTAGAGACATAGTCAATGGCTACTAGGATATACTCATAAGAATGCGATGATGGGAACGGACCCATGAAGTCAATGCCCCAAACGTCAAAACTTTCACATACCAGAATGGAATTGAGAGGCATTTTATCCCTCTTGATAATATTACCTGCCCTTTGACACTTGTCACATACAGTTACATACTCTTGTGCGTCTTTGTACAAAGTAGGCCAATAGAAACCGGCTTACATGACCTTTGCTGCAGTGTGATTTCCACTATAGTGTCCTCCAGCTGCTCCATCATGGCAATGAGACAGAATGCTTGCCATCTCTCCTTTAGGCACACATCTTCAAATCACACCGTCCGCACACACAGTTTAAACAAGAAAGGGTCATTCCAAAAATAACGTCTTACCTCACCTTGAAGCTTTCTTCTTTTATCATAAGAGAGGATACGAGGTAACCATCCGCTAGCCAAAAAGTTGGCTAAATCAGCATACTAAGGCGGCCTTTTGGAGACCACAGCAATGAAAAATTCTGCTCATCAGGGAACTCTTCCCTTATTTCAACTATTTCAACTAGAGGTTTCTCAAGTCGAGATAGATGATATGCGATTGATTTTCTGTGCCCTTCCTATATTTGATCTCCAATTCAAACTCTTGGAGCAACAACACCCACCGTATCAGATGCGGCTTGGACTCCTTCTTACTCAATAGATATTTCAAGGCTGAGTGATCAGTGTGTACAATCACTTTAATCCCTACCAGGTATGATCTAAACTTGTCAAAAGCAAAGACCACACCAAAGAACTCTTTTTCAGTAGTGACATAGTTGACTTGAGCATCATTAAACGTCCTGCTTGCATAGTAGATAGGCCTAAACATTTTATCTTTTCTTTGCACCAAAACTGCTCCCACAACTACATCACTAGCATCACACATTATCTCAAATGGTTGGCTTCAATCAGGTGTCACCATAATAGGAGCACTCACAAACTTTTTCTTTATCAATTTGAATGCTCTTACGCACTCTACATTGAAAACAAACTTGACATCTTTCGCTAGCAATGTAGTCAACGGCTTAGTTATGCTGGAAATATTTTGATGTACCTCATATAAAACCCAGCGTGTCCTAAGAAACTCCTTATGCTATTCATAGAAATCGGTGGAGGGAGCCTAGAAATTACATCAACCTTAGCTCTATCAACTTCAATTCCATGTGCAGCTACTTTGTGGCCCAGGACAATTCCCTCTTTCAGCATGAAGTGACACTTCTCCAAGTTAAGAACCAAGTGAGTGGCTTCACAACGTTCAAGCACAAGCTCTAAATTTTTCAAGAAATCCTCAAAGTCATCACCAAAGAGGGTGAAATCATCCATGAATACTTCTAGACATTTCCCGTTCAAATCAGAGAATATAGAAATCATGCACCTCTGAAAAGTGGCAGGTGCATTACACAACCCAAACAGCATCCTCCTGTAAGCAAAAATACATGACGGACAAGTGAATGTGGTCTTCTCTACAAATTCTGGGGTAATTGGTATCTGATTGTAGCCTGAGTACCCATTCAAAAAGCAGTAGCATCCATGTACTGCCACTTTCTCGAGTATTTGATCAATAAAGGGGATGGGGAAGTGGCCTTTCCTTACTGCATCATTCGGCCTTCTATAATCAATGCACATTCTCCACCCAGTGACAGTTCTTGTGGGGATCAATTCATTGTCTTTATTTTTCACCACTGTCATACCCCCCTTCTTAGGTACAACTTGCACTGGACTAATCCACTGGCCATTCGGAAATGGGAAAAATCACTCTTGCATCTAGCAATTTGATGATCTCCTTGTGCACTACCTCCTCAAAAAATTTGTTCAACTTGCGTTGGGGCTGCACCACTAGCTTGCTATTTTCATCCAACAAAACTTTGTTCATGCAAATGGCTGGACTGGTTCCTTGAATATCAACTATACTCCATCCAATGAATGGCCTTCTTGTTCTTTATCAGCAGCTCCACTAGCTTTTGCTCATGTGTACCTGTCAAGTCAACAAAAATAATCACAGGAAAATTGTTAGTTTTAAGTAAGTGAGTGGGGAGGACTTTCAATTCCACATTAGGCTTAGAAGCCTCCTCCTTTAGTTCCTCCTCATCAACCACTCGTTCCTCAGTTTCAAGAGCTTCAGTCTCTTTCTTTATTTCAGGATCTTCATCCTCCATTGTGCTAGACTGAGTAATACATCTCTCTAGAGTATCCCCCACAAGCTTGTCAAACTTGTATTTTCATCCAATTCCCTAACAACATCTAGCTTGAAACACGAGTAAGCGGATGCCTCATCGCTGGGGTATTTCATCATCCTCTTCATCTGGAACACCACTTTTTCATTGCCCACTCTGAGCATAAGTTGCCCCTCATAAATATCAAGGATAGCTCTGCCTGTACAAAAAAATAGCCTCCTTAGAATTAGAGGCACCTCCTTGTTCACCTCCATATCCACCATGATAAAGTCTACAGGGAACACAAATTTTTCCACCCGCACTAGAATACCCTCAATGATTCCCTCAGGTAAAATGGTGGTTTGGTTAGCCAGTTATAGGGATACTAGTATTAATTTGATACGGACATAGGCATTAGATTAATCGCAGAGGGCCTCTCAAATTTCTCACTCCCCAACGAGCATGGTATGGTGAAGCTTCCTGGGTCCCCACACTTTTGGGGAATTTTGTTTTGCAATATGGCACTACAGTGGGCATCCAGCTTGACCACTATTGTCTCCTCTAATTTTCTCTTGCTAGACAAGATCTCCTTCAAGAACTTTGCATAAGCAGGCATCTGAGTGAGTACCTCTGTGAAGGCAATGTTCATATAAAGTTGTTTGAGCATCTCCAAAAATCGCCCAAAACATTTGTAAAGTTTCTCCCGCTTTATCTTTTGAGGGAATGGTAGAGCTTGCATATGTCTACTTTCTTCAATCTCCTTTTGTACCTCGCTACTTTGGCTTTTTTGCTCTTCACTTTTTTTCTCTGATGGTGTCTCAGTCTGCTTGTTAACTACCTCAAGGCTAGCTTTCACCACTGGGTTAGTTAATGCTTTGCCACTTCTCAGAGATACAGCTTTGATTGTTTCCTTTGGGTTCTTTTCAGTGTCAGAGGGAAGAGTCTCAGGAGACCTCTTAGATAACAAATTTGCAATCTGTCCCATTTGTATTTATAAATTTCGGATATCCATGCCCTGAGTCTTGAATTTTTCATTTGTTTTGTTGATGAATGCCTTCATGAGATCTTCCATACTTGACTAATTTGGCTGTGGTGGCTGGTATTGCTGCCTCTGCTGGTTCTGAAAACCTGATGGTCCTTGACCCTGGTCTGAGATTATTTTGCTGCCATGAGTTCAAGATCCCATTAGGTGAACTCCACGAAAAACCTGGATGTCTTTGACCCATAGCATTATAGTTGTTCCCACCTTGGTATTTTCCTCTATTAAAGTTCCCCACAGCATTGACTTCCTCAGTTGTAGCTTGACACTCATGTGTAGGGTGTCCCAATCAACAAAAATCACATGATGCTTGTGGCTCACTCTGTACCTTGGCCAATGTTAGCATTCTTATCTCCTTAGCCATGGTGTCTAGCTGGGCTTGCATGGATCTGTTAGAGTCCACCTGGTGAACCCCAACAGATTTTTTTCTGTCATTACTCTAAGCCGGCTACTGATTAGCATCCCCAGATAATTAATCAAGGATTAAGACAACCTCCTCTAGAGTTTTCTTTATTAATAGACCTCCACATTCAGTATTCAGAGTTCATCGCGATGACGGTGTCACTCCATCCCAAAAATCCTGGAGTTGCATCCATAAATCATTTCCATTATGCTGACATTTTTTGACTATCTCCTTGAATCTTTCCCAATATTCAAAAATTATTTCTGTCTCCTTCTGGCAGAAATTGTGGATTTTCCTTCTGAACCTCCCTGTTTTTGCAGTTGAAAAGTACTTGTCGAGAAACTTCCTAGGCATATCTTCCCATGTCCTGATCAAACCTGTGGGTAAGCTACGAAGTCATTTCTTCGCATCATCTTTGAATGAAAAGGGAAATTCCCTTAAGTAAACTGCATCCTTTGATACTCCATTGTATTGGAAGGTGTTCATGATTTCTTCAAAGTCCATCAAGTGAGTGTTGGGATCTTCGTTCACCTTCCCTCTGAAAATGCAGTTGTTTTGGATAGTTTGAAGCAAGCCTTGCTTCAATTCGAAGTTGTTTGCTTCTATGGGTGGAGGTCTGACACTTGACAGTCCTTGATTGTAGACTGGCCAAACATAGTCACCCAATGATCTTCCAGGCCTAGGTGCTACATTCTCGAACTAGTCTTCAACCAAGGGTCGGTTTAAATTGAATCTTCGACCCCCATCATCGTTGACGGTCTCATCAGCAATTCTCTGTGCAGCTTCTTGTTGTGCTGCCTATCTTGCAGCTAAGTCTACTCCATCATTCTCTTTGTTTACCATGGTATCTTGATTCGAAGTTTGACCCGAGAATTTTTTTGTTAATTCTCTTTCTTTTCTCAGTTGTCGCAGGTGTTTATCCAATTCTGGTTCGTAGGGTATCACTTCCTTTGAAGAGGATCGAGTCATACACCAGAGAAATCAAACATGTATCATGCACACAAGTGAGAAACGTGAATACACTAAAGTAAAATTTGGTTCCTGAATTAGTACTAAAAACTATTTTAAACACTATTGATTGCCAATCCCCAGCAACGGCGCCAAATTTTGATGAGCGCAAAACACAACACAAAATTATTGCTCGCTAGTCAAAGATAGTATAGATTAATTATCGTTTTCACTGGGATCGGATTTAAATAGTGTTCGAATAATCTCTAGTTGATTATTATCCAGGAAAATTAACACTTTATTTGATGACCGTTACTACGATTAACTACTAAATATTAAACAAAGAACAACTGATCACAAAAGACACCAGATGAGCAACGAAGAAATATCAATGAGGGGAATAAGGGTATTTGACTAGATAGGTGCAGGATAACTGACTCGGGATCCAATTCTTGAGTTAATTCACTCTAAAATATGGTTGATTCTCACAAATTCAACTGATAATCAGATTATACTTGAAGTTAATGTTCCTCTTTCGATTAAACGTTAATTCAGTAATTAATCAAATTGAGGCACGATAAACAATTATAACAATAAAATGATGGTTATGATCTAAAGGATAACTTCTCACGAATATTCCCCTATTTTCTAGTTAGATAAACAATTCAATAGGCTCTTTCAATTACCTATTTGAATCACGAATTTAACTTAGAGCATAAAATGTGAAGAAATTCAACGTCAAACTCCTCTTTCGATTAAGCAAAATAATAAATAACTCCACAAAATAAATTAACGCTCCATTAATTAATTCTAACAATTATCAAGAATCGAATCCTTAATCAAGTTATCGAAATACCATTTCCGTCAACACCCTAATAGAAATTACTCCACAACAATGGAGTAAGACATCTTAAATAAGTTTAAGAATAAAGAAAATATCAATTCTAATGATTTGATACAAACTCCCGTATTGCACCGATTGCAGGTCAAAATATTGATGAATTCTTGAGTATTCTTGCCTTGGTTGGTTCTCCAACCTTCCGTAGGTCAAAAGTACCTTCAAAATTGTATTTTTGGTGTATTTATACCATGTAAAAATAAGCCCGAATGAAACTACCATTTCCCAGCCGAACTTGGAAATCACTCTGACGATTTTGCATAGCCGCGTCGCATGCTGCGCCGTCCCATGCGGCGCACTGATGAGGAAATCCAGAGAGCTTGCACTTTGCTTGTCAGACCACTTTTGCACTGTCGCGCTGCACCTCGCAGCTCCCCATGCGGACCCCATGTGCGACGCTGCATTGGCGTGTTGCACCTCGCAGCTCCCCATGACGATTTTTCTCAGAGTAAATTCGTTTGTTCACGTTTTGACATCCAGACTTAGTCCTCGACTCCTGAACGTGATCCCGACTTAATTTCTTGGGCTTCTACTCAGACTTCTAAGCTCCAACTTGTTTGATTTCGCTCCAAATTACTTAAATAGCTCAGAATCATTTCCTACAAGGCATAAAATATGTAATAAGTATAATTCATTATTATTTAAGCTCAAACACACGTAAAATGCAGTAATTAGAGTGCAATACTACGGCTAAAACACGAGTTTTTAGCCTACCATCATAAATTGGATAATAATAATGTACATTGGAGAACTAATAGTTAGTTGATGGAATCCATTTTTTGGTTTAGAGATTGATGATATACCTTTATGAAAGCTTATAAGTTTTCATGCGTAAACCCGGCCAGTAGATTTTGCATCCGACACATGAAATAAGTTAAGCGAAAGTCTAAAGGAAATAATCAATAAATTAAATTGTCAGTAATTTAATTTAATTTATTAGTATCTAAATCTTAACATAGGGAGTTAAATAAGATTTAATGGATGAATTTCGAAATTGAATAAGGAGTGCAATTATGAATTTTTAGTGGAATAATTCGTAATTAATTATGGTGGATATTAATTTCGAAAATTAGAAATTAATTCCATAATTGGAAGCCTTGTTAATTAAATTATGTGGTCCATGTTGTGCCTAAATAATAGGAAATAAAGAAATCCTTTTTCTGGTGGAAAGGAAAAACCAACAGGTTTTGGAAAAGAGTTTTAGCCCTTAAAACTTGTGCTATAAATACATAAGGTTTTCCACCTAGAGAAAAGAGAACAAGGTGGCCGAATTTTCAGCCATGTTTCCTAGAAAATTTTGCCCACACGAAATTACTATTTTCGAATATTATTTGGGTAACACAGTAGAAGACCGTGGAATGTTCGTAGATCGTGATCGTGAGGATGGTGGAGATTTCATTGAGTTGCTGTAGAATTGGAGGCTCGCGTGATAGATGAGCTTTTTTTATGCTTCAAGAGGTAACCCGTGAAATCCCGTTTATACTAGTTGTCTAGATTGCATGTGATTTTGATACTGGGATTGCTTCCGCTGCATATAATAATCCATTAGAGATTTCACACTAATACTAATGCTATCGAACTGAGAAGACACATGAAGAACGCTCGACTACCTACTAACCTACTACCCCAATCCTCGGTCGCCACACCCTCCTATCAAGGGTCATATCCTCGGTAAGCTCCAGTTGCGCCATGTCCCTCCTAATCACTTCTCCCCAAAACTTCTTTGGCCTAACTCTACCCCTCCTCATACCCACCAAGGTTAACCTCTCACACCTCCTAACATTCGCTTCTGTACTTCTCCTTTTAACATACCCAAACCATCTCAACCTCGCCTCCCACATCTTATCCGCCTCCACAGGGCCCACATTCACCTTATCCCGAATAACTTCATTCCTAATCCTATCTAACTTGGTATGCTCACATATCCATCTCAACATCCTCATCTCAACTACTTTTATCTTATGGACATGAGAGTTCTTGACTGGCCAACAGTCTACCCTATATAACATAATCGGACTAACCACTACTTTGTAGAAGTTACTTTTAAGTTTCAGTGGCACATTCTTATCACACAAAACACCGGAAGCGAGCTTTCACTTCATCCACCCTGCTCTGATACGATGCGTAACATCCTCATCAATCTCTCCACCATTTGTATTGTTGACCCAAGGTACTTGAAACTTCTTCTCCTGGGAATGACTTGTGTATCAAACCTCACATCCATGTCCGCTTCTTGGGTAACATAACTGAACTTGCATTTCAAGTACTCTGTCCTAGTCATACTCAGGTTGAAACCTTTAGACTCAAGAGTCTATCTCCAAAACTTCAGTCTTTCATTAACACTATTCTGTATCTTGTCAATCAGAACTACATCATCTGCAAATAACATACACCATGGCACCTCCCCTTGAATGTGTCGCGTCAATACGTCATGCTTTATATTAATGAGAAAGAAGTTACCAGAGTTGATCTCATCCTGAAACCAACACGCATGACATTCTGATAGTACTGAGCTTCACATAGTACTACAAATGACTGGATCAAGTAAGACATACAATTTAGAAAGTGCATATGCAATTAGATTGATTAAACTTTCTAAATAAAGCTAATTGAATGCCCAGAGAATCAAGATTCTGAACGTTCCATTCATGAGCAAGAAGAAAACTAAGTGATCAACATTACAAAACCAGATAATAT